TGAAGGGATAGGGTTTGGGTTAGGCCTTAGGAGGCGGGTGGGCTGCGCGGGAAGGGAGCGGCGTCCCCTGGGAGGGTGCGGAGCTGTGGGGTTCGTGCGCTGGGAGGAAAGGGTCCAGCACTGGGGTGATGGGGGGTAGAGGGGTACCTCTGGGACGTGTCCCCCCCCTCCCCGGCCACAGTGCTGGCAGGCAGCGCTGCTTGTGCCCACGCCCTGGCATGGATGTTGCTGCTTGGTAGCTCAGGTGAGTGAGATGTGTTCCATTCTGCGCAGAAATGGGGCTGCTGCAAAGCTAAAAGTTCCCTCGGACTTCAGAAGAAATTCTTTCCATAGGAGCAACTTTATCTCCCGCCTGTTCAGGGGGGTCAAAGAGTTTTATTCTGATGCATTAGCAGATGTTAGTAGATGCTGCTCCTCTTTCTTCTTATCTGTAGTTTATTTCTTTTAACTGGTCTGCGTCTCTCGAGCAGGTGTTGGCATGAACAGAATTCGGATCCATGTTTTGCCATCGAGCCGAGGACGCCTCACTCCTGTGCCGCGGCCGCAGGAGCCTCTGTCATGTGCCTTCACCCACCGCCAGTGCCCCCAGCCGCGGCTGGAGGGGCAGGAGTTTTGTATTAAGCACATTCTTGAAGACAGGAGTGCCCCTTTCAAGCAATGCAGCTACGTTTCAACAAAGAATGGAAAGCGGTGTCCCAACGCTGCGCCCAAACCGGAGAAGAAGGATGGGTGAGTACCTTTGTCTCCTGGTTCTCCGGTTCTGTACCATATAGGATTAAGATGGGCTGGAGAAGGTCCTTCTGATTCAGCTGCTGCACTTACGTTACCTCAGACAAGAGGCTCCCTCTTTCTGAAGTGTTTTTAAGCTAGAAAAAGACTCTGTGAGTGCTGGACCCCGCGAGGAGCCCTGCAGGCCTGTCGGGCCGCTGCTTTCTGCCATCAGAAGGTGGCTGCAGTGATCCAGGTCCTTTGTAAGAGCTGTGCGTGCACCCACACGGTGCTGTCCCTCCGCCCAGCCCAGCAAATTTAACTTTCCGCTGCCTGCACTTATGGATAGTCCTCGGCACAGATACCCTGGTCATGCGTTCTGTGGAGTTGATGACCTGGTTGTGCTTCTTGTTCTCTGATGCATATGAAATGTTCTGACTGCTATGGATGGAAGGACCCAGAACGCTTATCGACATGCAGTAAGCATGTCAGCGGAGCGCAGTTTCCCTTACGGGAGCGTCGACCCACGTTTCGTTCTCAGAGGTTACGGGGATGTGGATAGTGGTAGTCTTTGTTCTGCCCTTGGCCCCTCTGCAATAAAAGGGATCCACCCGACGCAGGCCAGCGTGCTCTGCGTGGAAACTTGAGAGTCCAGTGTGAATGTTTGGAAGCAGAAGAGCTCACCTCGGTGGCTTTGAGTAAAAAGCTCATTTCTCTCCCTGCTGCGGTGCCGTGTGGTGACTGCCGGCTCCGGTGCCAGAGGTGCCGTTTAAGCGGCGGTGTGTGGTCTGTGAGCCGCCCGGGCGCCTCTGGCATTTCCGAGCTGTACCTGCAGCCAGTGGTGCTCTCTGTGAGAGAGCTGTAGAGGGGATGTGCTTTCCAGGTGCCAGGGAACTTTTCTCACTGTATCGCTTGTTCTTTCTGCTGGCTGAGGGCTTGGAGCTGTAACGAGCTTGCAATTTGTTCCCGCAGCACGTCATTCTGTGCGGAGCATGCCCGCAGGAACATGCTGGCGCTCCAAGCTCAGATGAAGAAGTCTAATCCTGGACCTGTGAGCGAGACTCTCCTTTGCCAGCTTAGCTCTTATGCCAAAACAGAGCTGGGCTCCCAGACCGCAGAGAGCAGCCGCAGTGAAGCCAGTCGGATCCTAGGTAAGAGTTGAAAGTGAAAACCAATGAGAGAGGACTTAGAATCCTCCGTTCTGTGAGGAAACGCCAGGAATATCACTTCTTAAATCCAGTGAAAAAAGGATCCCAGGGGTCTGTGGGTGAAAGGTTGTGTTCTGTAAACCCTGGCGCGTCTTGTCTGCCGCTGGCTGTAGACAAGTCACCCCACCCCACCGAAATCCTGCAGGTTTTTTTCCCTTGCGGTTGTGGAGTATTCTACGTTAGGTAGCTTCCCTCTTTGCTGGGCTGGTCTCTAGCGGTGCCTGTCAAACGCTGGCTCAGTGCTGAGCTTCCCATCTTGTGGGGTTGCTCGGTGGGGCCACTCAGCAGTTCGTGGTTCCCAGGTGGGCAGGAGCATCGCTCCATGGGAGCGGTGTGTTTTGGCTGCGCCCAGTTGCTGGGTTTCCTGTTGTCCCATGTCGCTTGCTCACCGTGCTGGGGAGAAGTCGTCTCTCCTGGCAAGAGGCAGAGCTGGTTCACCTCCATGTGGCTGTGAAGCCGAGCTCCTGGGGTCCCCGGTTGCCCTGTGCCGGAGCAGCGAGCGCTGGGACGTAGGGCAGCGTCCTATTGCTCAGGGTGATTTGTGTTTTCAGATGAGGACAGCTGGAGCGACGGCGAGCAGGACCCGATCACAGTGGACCAGACGTGGCGAGGAGACCCAGACAGCGAGGCTGACAGCATTGATAGCGACCAGGAGGATCCCTTGAAGTAAGTTGGGTGCTGGTGGCTGTGGGCTGCTTAGGCGTGTGGAGCGTTCTGAGCTCACTGTGGTACCAGGGGAGATGGTGGTTTTGCTAAAGAGCGGCTTTATTGATGGTGCTGCAGTTGGACTTTGTGCCTCAGCGAGTGTGAATGCTCGTAAGTCTTGGACCTGGTGGTTCTTCTGTGAAGTATTGATGGTCACCCCCTTCAGTGTGGCGTGTCCATTCAGCAGCAGTCTCTGAGTGATCTTTGAAATGAAAAATAAATCTGTAAAAATCAGTATTTCTGCTTGTCACCCATTGATTTGTCTAATCCAGCCCTGCTCAGCCGGTGCTGCTGAGAACATCCATGTCATTCCATCAGGAGAACAGCCCCGAGGGACCCACAGGAACTTCACCCTGTTTGTGTGGGTGTTTTTCAGGCATGCTGGCGTATACACAGCCGAGGAGGTGGCTTTGATCATGCGAGAGAAGCTGATCCGCCTGCAGTCTCTCTACATCGACCAGTTCAAACGACTCCAGCACCTTCTGAAGGAGAAGAAACGCCGATACCTGCACAGCCGCAAGGGAGAACATGAAGCCATAGGCAAGTACTGGTACAGGTAGTCACTGGTCCATATTTGTCTGGCTGAGGGCACAGCGCTTTTCTAGAACATACAGAACTCTATGTTAAAAATAAAAAAGGGGGTTTTTGTGCCCTTTGTAGAAGCAGATTTCAGAGCAGAGCTGTCTGGGTAAGGGTGAGAATGACCCTAGGACCAAAACTTGGTTAGAGAAGGTATTTCTGTGGCTGGCCTCGTGCCTGGAGATTGGTATCGTCTGGGCTAGAAAGGTTGCCGGATTTCTTTGCTCTTCAAAGTGTTACCAGGAAATGAGACTACAAAGTGAATTCTGAGGCAAATGGTTTTTTTGTTTCTTTTATATGGGATTTCCTGGTTTTGGTTTTATAAACAAAAATTCTGTTAATCTGTAAGGTCCTG